TAACTTTGAAAAGCCATTTGCACTCAACAACAGAACAGTTAGGAGTCCTAGGAACTAGGGTCCAAGTCTTATTCAACTTAAGGGAATCTATTTCACTTTGCATAGCACTAAGCCAGTTTTTAGATTCTCTAGATGCAAGGGCTTCCTGGTAGGTTCTAGGTTCATTTAAATCAAGAGTTTCAAAAACAGAGAAAGCAAACAAGGAAGTATCATACAGATGAAAAGCATAATCAGTCATACTGTCAGAAATTTTCCTTATGTTTCTCCTAGTTCTGTCTCTAGCTAACTGATAATTTTCAAGATTCAAGTTTTCAGAATAAGTTTCATGAAAATCATTGTTATCAGTAGAGTTATCACCTGCAAATTCATCATGCACATTCTCATTATTGTTGTTAGACTCAGTAGGCTGCTCCACCTCACTGTAGGTAGAGGGGGTGTCAAGCATAGTGTTGGTCAGGCCAGGAGAATCAGGTGATCCAGATTCATTAACCAGAGGGTTAGAGGTAGTCTGAGTAGGCTCCACCTCACTGGGAGTGGTGACTTCAGGGCTCAGATCAGGTTCAGTCACATTTTTCACTAAGCAGGGGAAATCAAATTCATTGAACACAACATTTCTACTTATTATGACCTTAAAACCAATCTGACTCCTATCCCAGATCCTATACCCTTTTACTCCTTCAGGGTAACCTAAGAAAATACACTTTTTAGATCTAGGTTCCAACTTGTCAGTTTGTTGATGTACATAGGCAGCACACCCAAACACCTTTAAGTTAGACAGGTCAAGGGGTTTCTTGGAGAAGACAAACTCAGTGCATTTACCATCTAAGGGTACAGAAGGAGACCTATTGATCAAGTAGGTGGCTGTATTAACAGCTTCTCCCCAAAACTTCTTGGGGAGACCAGAAGTAGCAAGCATACTTCTGACTTTGTCAAGGAGGGTCCTATTCATTCTCTCAGCCAAACCATTTTGTTGGGGAGTGTAGGGCACAGTTTTGTGTCTCCTAATCCCACACTCGGTACACAACCTATCCATGTCCTTATTGCAGAATTCTAATCCATTGTCTGTTCTAAGGGTTTTAACCTTACATCCAGTTTGATTTTCTACCATAATTTTCCATTCTTTAAACTTGACATACACCTCAGATTTATGTTCTAACAAGCAGATCCAAACTTTTCTAGAAAAATCATCAATTATGGACAGAAAATACCTCCTACCCCCATGGGTAGGGACACTGGAAGGACCCCACACATCTGCATGTATGTAGTCGAGGACAGCTTTAGACTTAGGCTCATTAGGATAGCTAGAGGTAGGAAACTGGACCCTATGTTGTTTACCTAAGATACAACCTTCACAGAATGGTATAGGTGACACCAAGTCATTTCCAAAACAGCCTGATTTTTGCAAAACATTTAATCCTTTATTGCTCATATGTCCAAGCCTTTGGTGCCAGAGCACAGACTTGTCAGAGAGTACAGTATTAGCATTTTCAGAAAATGGTTTAGCATGAACCACATATAGGCTATTTTCTTTTAAAGCTTTGAACAAAACCAAAGAGTTTTTCAGGATTTTCATGCACCCATTCCCCCATTTTCCCTCAAGACCACACTCTTCAAAGGCAGAAACAGAAAGTAGATTGTGCCTAAGATCAGGGACATGCCTAACATTTTTCAATTTGAAAACAGTTCCATTCTCAAATTTAAGACTTATGTCACTCATACCATGAACCTTGCACTTCTTATTGTCAGCTAAGGACACATGACCAGACTCACATGTACTATAAGAAGTAAACATATTTCTAAAAGGAGTCATGTGGTAGGTACACCCTGAATCAATTAACCATTCAAATTCAGTTAGGTTGCTTAGGACAGAGTTGGCTTGATCACAGACCATGAACACTTCATCACTCATTTCTTTATTGGTTACAGAGTTGGCCTGTTCATTTCTTTTAGGTTGGGTACAATCTTTTATAAAATGACCTGGGTTACCACAGTTGTAACAAACTCTTTTCTTGGACTTGTACCTTTTCTTACCTGGCTGTCTACTGTTCTTGTCCTGATTTTCTTTTCTAGGGTACCTAGACCTACTCTTGGATCTGCCCCTAACAAAAAAGGCTTCACCAGAGTCCTTAGAGTGATTATTGTGACCCCTAGAGTGTCTTAAGTCAAGCTCTTTGCTTTTTAGGCCATTAATTACAATATCAAGGGTTATATCATCCCTCCCATATTTAATGGCTGACTTAACATCATTATAGGAATCAGGAATGGCATTAAGAAGTACAATAGGGGTATAATCATCAATATGTTTATCCCCAGCTTGTTTTATGTTCTGGATCAGTTTTTGAAAAACATCTAGGTTTTCTTCAATGTCTTTACTTAGGTCAAGTCTGAACCTAAAAAATTTTTCCAATAAGAACAGTTTACCAGGAAGAGAAGTATCAGTGTAAGTGGACTCAAGTTTATCCCAGAGGGCTTTGGCAGACTCAAGGATTCCTACTTTTCTAAGGACAGAGTCAGACAAGTTTAGATATATGGTGGAACAGGCAGTTTCATTCATCTCAGTTTGTTTAGACTTATCCTCAGATTCTAAAAACTGACCAGTGACAGCTCTATACACCTTTTGTTGGATAAGGACACATTTTATCTTTTGTTTCCAAATATCAAAGTCAGATTTACCATTAAAGGGAAGCATACCATACATGTTAGAAGTCATGGTAAACAACAAACCTACACAGTTAATGAGACAACTGTAATGCGGAGACTGAGCCCTAGAAGGTTAGGCTGCGGACTAAGGGACCACGCAGATCCGGGGCCACTGAGGTGGCTGGCAGGGAATCCCCTAGCCCTAACCTCAAGTGCCTTAGCCCACTAGAGTTTTACAGTCACAGTATTACAATGGGTCAGAAACCAACAACATGGGTAAAGAAGTGAACTGGAAACAGATGGAAGTCACAAACAATAGAGGCTCAAAACAAGTAATAACCACAAAGGTGCTCAGGCAATCACACAGAGAATGGTGGGTCAAGTTCGACACAGATTGACACCACCCATGCACGAGTTCAACAGACCTAGGGTTTCTGCAGACCGAATCTGCACATGCAACGGAAAAACTAGGGTTTCTAACCGGAAGATCCAAAACCTAGGGTTTAAGATCTACCCATGCAGCATAGATGCCGGTGGCACTCCGGTAGCCCAAGACAGGGATTTAGAGGTTATACCTGAGCGAGTGTCTAGATCAGACAACTCGACTTACCAATCGCGAGGGGAAGCTGAGGCGTTACCAGGTGTGGGAAGTGCTTCCGGCGAGTCTCCGGCGTTGGTGAGAAGAGGCAGCTTCCAGCTCTGATACCACTGTAGAGTTACTGGACCGGCTCAGACCTCAATCACCATAGCCCCAAGAGCTAGCTCACCATTCACCACCAAGGAGTCAACAAGGGAAACCGAAAGGGCAACAGTCTCAAACACTCAGTTTTGGAGCCCAAACCCCTCCCAGACCAGGCCCCAGAGAAGCCACCGGAGAAGAACCCCCAAATACCAGCTCAGAGTGAAGCCCACAGAAGGGAACCCCAAAGGTCTCACCGGAGGATAGCCGGAGCTAAGCCTACAGTTCAACCGGCACTCTCTCACTCTAGAACTAGGGTAACAGTCTAGGCTTCTCATCGCTAAGAGAGAGGGAAGGGTCGCACAAATAGGAGATTCCAGAAGGAACGGGACAATATAAGAGAAGGGCCACAATGAGTCATGGGCTGGATAAAGACAAGGGGAGACGAATGGGCTTGGTCGGGTAGGCAAAAGGGGTTGGGCCAGACTCATTAATTAGGAGACCAACATATTAATGAGGCGAGCCAAGTACAACAGAGGTGGACCAATACCAACTCACAGGAGCGAACACATTTAAAGTAAAAATCTGTTTTGGTTTGAATATCCCATCCTTAGCGCGAGTGCGCATAGGATGTATGTTTAAAGGGACAGCCGGTAGGGAACTGGTCACAACAGGGGAGGTATGGTTGAGACTATGGGCTGGTGAGGGACTGTCGGTCGATGGAGTTGAGGTGGTCGTGGCAGCTGGGGAGGTAGTATCGTGTTCGGCAGTAGGGATTATTGGTGAAGGGGATAGGCCGGTAGATGGGATGGAGGCTGGGGATGATGTGGGAGTGGATGGTGAGGAATGATGCTCCAGCAAGGGTGTGTAAGACTCGGTAGGTGTGGCTATGGGGGAAGTAGGTAAAGGGATGGGTAGGGAATGGCCAACAGTTTTAGATGCCTGGCGGGATGAGGTAGAAAGCCAAGAAGGAGTAAAATTTGATATGGGGGGGTTTGGCCTGTCACTAGTTGAGGATAGGGAAAGACATTCTCATGAAAGGTGACATCCGGCCGACTCACATAGACACGACCAGTGGAGGGAGAAAGGCAACGATAACCTTTGTAGCCCGGCGCATAACCAATGAAAACACAGTGTATGGAACGGGGTGATAGCTTATTGTGAGAGGCAACAATAAAATTTGGAAAACATGAGCAACCAAACACACGCATGAAATTGTAATCTGGAATATAATTTTATTAAAAAGTTTCTCGTAAGGTGTGAGACCGTTCAAAATCGGTGTAGGAAGGCGATTTATAATAAATGTTGCAGTATAAAGAGCATCAACCCAGGAATTTACTAGGAATAGAAGAATCAATCAACATAGTCCTAGTTAATTCAAGTTATTGTCTGTGTTTGCGTTCTGCCACACCATTTTGAGCCGGGGTCTCAGGACAAGACTTTCTAAATAAATTTCCAGATTTGGAAAAGTGCTCTCGAAAAATGTTGTTATCAAACTCACCCCCTCCGTCACTTTGGAAAACTTTAATTTTTAAATTTAAAATATTTTCAGCTAGTTTTTGAAAATTTAAAAAATGAGTAAATACTTCAGACTTCCTATGCATCGGATAAACCCAAGTATATCTAGAAAAATCATCAATAAAGGAGACATAATATTTGAATCCAAGATTGGATAACACAGGCGATTGCCAAACATCTGAATGAATAATTTGTAAAGGTGCAGTAAAGTCATGAGTAACATCACTAAAAGGAAGTCTGTGGGATTTACCCAGTTTACAAGAAACACAATCGTGGACAAAAGAGGAGGAAGTAGAAATTAATTTATGCTGCCTAAGTCTACCAAGAATTCTATCACCACAATGCCCCAAGCGCTTGTGCCAAACTGGACCGGGTACAACACGGGATTGAAGGGCATGGAAAGGATAAACATGGTCTTTATTAAGTGCCTGAAGAAGAAGCTCCCCCGTGTGATTGTCCTTGACAGAAAAAGAATTTTTATCAAAAATCACTTGACAAGTATTATCCGCATATAATTTTTGAATAGATAACAAATTATATTTAATATGTGGGACATGATAAACTGAGTTAAGAGTTAGCGGGCGACCACGAGTGACAAGCTTTAATTTACCAATATTAGAAATAGGCAATTTTGTACCGTTAGCAACACACACTTGATTCGGGCCAGTGTAAGGAGTTTTATAAGAAAGAATACCTTCGTGATGAGTCATATGAGCGGAAGCCCCAAAGTCAGGATACCAGACTGAATCATTGTTTTCACCAGTGGGTAGCGCAGCAAGAGCCGGGGTTGGCGAGGCATTGAAGCGGGAACAATGAAGTGCTGAGTGACCTAGGGAAAAACACAATTGACATACAACTGGGGGGAGGCGACTGATAAGACTGATCCACAGACGGGAAACCTGCATAAGAATGATGAGTAGCAGAAGCAGGAAAATAAACAGTACAACTATTACCAGAACTAACATTACACAACGCCGAACCTGGTATCCCTGAAAAAGCCGGTGCTCTCGGCTGGGGATTAGCTGGATGTGGTGGATAACCCACATAGGGTTGCTGGTGACCGCCATAGTTCTGCTGGTAGTAACCTCCTCGGCCACGGCCACGCCCGCCACGTGCACGACCTCCTCGGTTGCCTCGGCCACGTGGCTGTACGCCACCACCACGCGGTTGTCCACCCCCTCGGGCTATTGGAGCAGTTGGGGCAGCAAACGCCTGCTGTAAGGGAGCTGATTCCTGGGCTTGGAAAAATAAATTGCGTTGTTCTTGAGCTTGGAGAATGGGACGAAGATCTTCAAGACTTGGAATCCCCGGTAATTGATCAATATTGTTGAGTACCGATTCATATCTACGCCCCAAGCCAAGGATAGCATATTCAATTTGATCTCGTCCACTAACCGGAGCATTAATAGCGGCTAGAGAATCTGCCAGGAGCTTAATTTCTAACAAATATTGATCCATAGTCTGTGATTCTTTCTTTTTCATATGAGACAACAACCGTTTTAATTCTATGGATCGAGAAATACAAGCTGACATAAATCTTTTCTGAAGTCTTTCCCAAATAAGATGATAAAATTTCAGATCATAAACTTCCATTAAAACATCTCTAGCAAGAGTTGCAAAAATCCAAGAATGCACAGTTTGGTCAATTTTTAGCCAGTATGTATAATCCAGAGTAGTGGGTGAAGGGACTGGAATAGACCCATCCAAAACACCCAGAAGACTGTGAGACACTAAAAATGACTCAAACTGGGTTCTCCAGGGCAAATAATCCTCAACAGACGATAAACGAGTAGTCACAATGTTGCTTACATTTGGAGTAGAACACGCCAATTGAGATGCTAGAGATGATAAGGGACTGTAGGAAGTATTAAAACCTGGCAACGAAGATGTCGATGGTGCTGTCAGAGGAGCTATCCCAGGCTGTCCTGAGAAGGTGGGACCAGTAAAATGCATGGATGAACTGCCAAGCTCCGGAAAAACTGGTGGAGGTGGAAAAGCAGTTGTTGTTGGCAGCGTGTAGCAGGAGGCATCCAATTGAATTGTTCAGGCATATTAAAGAGCCTGTAGGAGTCCATGGACGGAATACCGCGAATCCGTTGTTGCAGAGAGGTCGCTAGCGGAGAGTGTATCTGTGCGACCTGTGTAGATGAAGCTAAAGGCGTCAAATACTACTGGGAGGAGAACACGACACTGCTGCAACTAGGACAGAAGATGAAGCCGCGGAGGAAGGCTGCACCGGATTGACGTGCGCCATAGAAATTGCAGTAGCACAGATGTGTTCTGCCATGGATCGATCGATCGATGGAAAAGGGAAAGAGAAAACCCTAAACTTCTGATACCATATACAAAACAATAACTTTTGGGAAATAATGGCTTACCCTATTGGGTGCCTTGAGGTTCTATTTATACTAAACTGATTTTTGGATATTACATAGTAATCCTTATATAATTACATACTCTAATATTTTTCAAACCGGATAGATATTAGACTGATGTTCGGTTACCTACTCGCTAAATATATACTCCCTCCGTAACATTCATATCTTCCCACTTTCCTTTTTTAGACGTAACATTTATATCTTCCCATTTCTAAATTTTCCCATCATACCCTCAATAATTTAAAAAATACTACCTCCGTCCCCCTAAGTTTGGGACAAGAAAAGGTGGCACGGTTATTAATAAAAGTGGGTTTGTGTGGTTGATATTGAATTGATAAAGTAAGAATAAAGTAGGAATGATTTAGAACCACACAAACTTTACCAAATAAGGTATGAGATAATCTTAGTGGGACGGACCGAAATGGTAAAATGGGACAATTATAGCGGGACGGAGGGAGTAATACACTATTACACCTACTTTTTTTGGATTTATCCTTCATTCCATCACATTATTTCACCATCTTCCCATCATACCCTCAATAATTCATACTCCATTTCATTATTCTTAATCTCACCCACTTTAAAAGTGGGAAGATATATGTGATACGGAGGGAGTACTATCGTACTATCGTACTTCGTATTGAGATGAGAAGCTGTAAAACGATTAGACTCCCTGCAATATACCCCGTAGTCCGTAATAGCCAGCTGGTTGTACTCAGTCTGCATAAATTTGTCTTGCTTCACATAAATAGTCAGTTTCACGGGTAGTATAAAACAAACTCAACCGCTAGGTTGAATTCTAAAAATAAAATTAAACTGAATCTTAAGAGTTGAGAAATCCCTATTACTAGTTACTACATAGTACCGATAGTATAATTTACACAGGTGCACATTTAATTTTAATAACATTGAAATGAATGAATACATATTTATATGAAAGGGCACGTACATTATTGATATGACACCACAATTTCATATTAGTAGTATATTAAATCAATACTGAGGCAAAGTTTCAGGCCATTAAAGTTTAATGTAATTGACTTGAGAACAATAAACCTTGCCGCGGAAATGTGTCGATCGGCAATAAAAGAGAAATTCCTCAAAACACATCTCTTATCCAATCATTACGAGCACATATATGACCAAATCGGTTCAAACAAAAAAAACTTTCCGACATCATCGATTTAAATAAAATTTCAAATATATCAATGAACACATATGTCGATTAAGGATGAATTCCATGGATCTATAATGGTAGGCTCTGATATCAATTGATGGATATTCATATATATCAACAAAACTCCGTATGTAATACATATATAAATACGTAGTATATAATAGCTAAATCCATATAAATTCATGAAATCAAATACGTATGAACTAAGATTAGAATAATACCTTGAGAATTCATTTGCATTAACACTTTAGGAAGACTCAAGAATCCAACACGATTAGTCGACCTAACCTTCCAGTACTATGTAGCAACGTATGAGATATTCTAATCCTATAATAGATGGGATATATATATAGGACTAGGTTTATATGGTAACGGTTGGCTCTTATTATTCCTGATAATAATTCCTTAATCATTGCTGCAATAATGATATTATTTTGAATAATTTATTAGGCTATTTCCGTTACCATATATCTATACTGTTATCTCTCAATTTACACGTACAGGGGGTCATAACCGTTGTATCACTTTAGTGTAATATATTTAATTTGACCCGTCACCAAAAGAAATATATTATCCTGGTATCTACACTTTTATTATTTCATGAATAGCCACTGCATTATTTATCTGATGGTAAACACATTTTAATTAATTACATATTAGGCCCCTTTTATTGTTTTCCAACAGTCTAGAAATATGTACATTATATATACATACATACATATAAGAAAAGAAAAAAAAATTATGTATATTATCAACATTGATTTCAATGTAAACAATTAAAAATTGATCTTAATTGCCTAATTACTTTTTGTAAATAGTGAATATGGTTTTTTAATATCAGGGTTATAAAAAATGATATAGTTAAAAAATCATTTTTTGATCATTAGCAGGGTTTATTTCATGGTGTTACTCACGTACATTAAGATGTAACTCACGCATAAACAGATGTAACACTCGCATAAGAAGATGTAACTTCATATACTACCAAATATAATTCCAAAAATTGTCTATAAACACAACTCACACATGTTGAAATATAAATCATACAAGTACGTATAAAATATAAAATTATTTTTTTGAAGAAAAAATAAGTTATTTTTTTTTTTGTAATTTAAGTTGAAGCAGAAAAGAAAAAAATATAATAAATTTCTTTTGAAAGGATGAAAATTTAATCTCAAAATTGTAATATATACATCATTGTTTCTAAAATTAAAAAAATTATTTGGAAACATGATTGCTTTTGATAATGAAAATATTAAAGCAAACATAGAATGAAAAAAATGATGGTGGAAAGATAAGTGGAGTGTATGACAAGAAAGAAGAAAAAGAAAGAAACGAGGGAGGGGAAGTGCTAGCTAGTGTGCGCTATATTATTGGAGTTGTTATTAAAAACGGCATACCATGTGCATGGTATGCCGGTTGCACGGTATAATTTGCCGCCTAACCTCATATTAGTTCATTCACATAGTCAACTAGCCGGCTAGCCCAGTCAATTCCCGTTGGTATTTCTGGTTCTGGTTATCTTGCTTGACTTGGAATGCTAAAGTGCTAAACATAAATAATCTCAATCTCTCGGTTAAAAAACTTTACTACAGAGTACATTTTACATGGGTTTGGGCTGAAATCGGGGTGGAAGACTTACCCTTTGGGATATGTTTGGGAGTTTGAAAATACAATCAGATATATGAAAGTATCACAAGTCTAAATATGATGCTAAACTCAATTACTCCATATAAGATTTGAATAACACGCACGTGTGTGCATTTTATTGACTTTCATGTAAAATTAACAATTTATTTATATAATGAGAAATTCACAAGACAAACATATACAGATAGTTATATTTATGAATACGTTATACCATAAATCGGGTTTAAACTTACACTACTTACATCTCACTAATACTAAATTTTAGTATAATATAAAGTTAAGTAATTGCCCTTAATAGTATAGGAGTAAAACATACAAAGTACAACTTTTTACTAAAGAGGAGTTAACTCCTATGCTTCCCCAAATAGGAGTAAACATTAATGTTTTTATCCCTAATACCCTCATTCTATTCTAATTAATTATTTAATAATTGCCCCCCGCTAGTTCCCTTGGGAAACTGGGGCATTCCGTTGGTGGCGGGGTAGTCCGGTGGTGGTGGCGGCAGTGGAGCTCCGGCGGTAGTAGTGTCAGAATGATGGCATAAATATTATGGGAATTTTTTGGGTTGCGGCTGCGGCTAAATTGACGGCGGCGGAAGGGGATAACGGCGACGGCAGAACTGATCCGGTGACTGGCCGCAACTCCGGCGGCCGGCAACTATAGTAGGGTGGTCTTGTCCATGCTTTAAAGAATACTTCTATTTGGGGAATTCTAAAATCTCACTCCTATTTTTGCACTTCGTATATATTTTGTTCCTATTTAGGGAATTATCTCTTTAAAGTTTACTCCACTCGCTAGAGATGATTAGTCACATATTCCCTCAAAAAGCCTGAAATAACATGTTAAGGTATTTTTCTCAATTTGGCAGTGTTTTTATAATACTATGCGTACTTTATATTCACACACAAAAAGCAAAAAGAAAAAAATTATGAATGCCTTTAGCTTTCGGTCATGTCCTAGAAAATTATCCGTAAAGAAACAGTCATTAGAGTGATCAAAATTCTATGAGGTATCAGAGTAACAAGTAAGCATTAGAGTGTACTTCATATAGTTAAATATGAGTTCCGACATGATTATTTCATCAGAATCAACTGATGTCTCATTCTCCCAATGCCTGGTTCCTCCTACTCTAAATAAGATCATTCAACAAAATTTGAAAATGTTGCGAAAAATTATTGGCAGTGGAATTTCGTGGGCCCTTGGGAATTATGAATGTCTACTTTAACTATTTGACACACATATTAGGATACGGGGGCACGAAAAGATGAATAGACAAAACGCACTATACTACGTACATATACTACAAAACTTAAATATAATACGTACGTATATGAATGCTTTCTATGCATATAATAAATAATTTATGTAAGACCATATTTTCACTAATTATCTTTTATTCATAGGTGAGAATTCTTGTATCCAAATAGATATATCATTTTTAATTTAGATTCAAATCATTCGACTGCAACATTCTAATCGATTCAGAGGCAGCCCTAGGGGGGAGGTGCATGGGGGCGGGCGCCCTAGGCCCAAAAACAAATGGGTAAAAAATAGGTCTAAGAATAGTTCTTTGTAATAGGTGTGAGTAGGCTGCTTTTTCAGCCCTAAACTAACATTTTTCGAGTGGAATTTGTTGAAGTTCTTCGGAATGATTTTTTGGTGAGAACTTATGATCATGTTCTCTATGAAGTGCAGATTATGTAAAAAAAAACACAGTTTAAACTTCAATTTAGAAATCCGTCAAATAAATTATTGAAAAAACATTACGTTTTTATACTTTTTGGCGCATTTTTTTTAATAATTTATTTAGCTGACTTCACGATTGAATTTTAAGTTGAAATTTTATGGACATAATGTACACTTGATTAAAAACATTCTCTTAAAATTTCACAAAATAATTTCACTCAAAAGCAGATTAGTCTGATATGATTAATTAATTCCACTCATAGTTGATTGTTTGATTTCTTAAATGATGATTGTTCTCTATTAAGGTGTAATAAAAAGGATTGAATCTGAATAGGATAAATAAAAAAAGGGAATGATTAGAGAAAGCGGCGCAAAATAAAAAAAGTTCAATGAAACAGTTTGTTTGTTTAAATAAGTCAAATTCTGAATGCCCTCCTCAAGATGATAACTCATAGAAAAACAATAATTTAACTGCTGAAAATGAAGTGATTCAGAATGGTTACATCATTTGGGGGGGGGGGGGTAGGAGGTGATATATAGTTAATTACTTAAATATGACTTAAACATCGATAAAGTGTACAAATAGGATCATCATTGTGTCCTTCCTGAATAAGGATCACCAATACTATAATATGATTGATTTAGAGAGAATAGGGTTTGACAGTTTTTATAAATATTTTGAAATATTATTATATTATTATTACTATTATTATGCTTGTCAGTTTAGATAGAAAAGAGTTCTATAATTTTTTGTAACATTAGACTCATTTTCATTTTCCGCCCCTAGGCCTTCGAACATGCAGGGCCGTCTCTGAATCGATTCATGTAGACAAAGGTATGATATCTTATGAATCCCATAAAATCTACCTTATTTAAAATCAACATATTAGAGAATATATAGAGATAACTTTATACACGAAAGGTAAAATCATAAAAATATATTCCGTATATGTCAAATAAAAATATAAAATGATGCTTAATAGTTTA